TTTTATTTCTATACTGGATATTTAAATGTTCATGCTCATTTCCCTTATTTTTACATTATTTTAGATTTTATTTTTCATCATCTAATGCTCACTTAAAGGATTAGTTCACGTCCAGAATAAAAATCTCCTGATGATTTACTTGCCCCCATATCATCCAAGATGTTCATGTCTTTCTGTCTCCAGTTGAAAAGAGATGAAGGTTTTTGAGGAAAACATTACAGGATTTTTCTCCATATAATGGACTTCAATGGGGACCAACGGACTGAAGGTCTAAATCACAGTTTCAGTGCAGCTTCAAAGAGCTCTACAGGATCCCAGCCGAGGAATAAGAGTCTTATCTAGAGAAACCATCGCTCATTAAAAAAAATACAAATTGATATGCTTTTTAACCACAGATGCTGGTCTTGCACTAGCTGGACTTCACGCATGACGTAATCACGTTGTAATTTTTTTTTTGCAGCTTCAAAGAGCTCTACAGATCCCAGCCGAATCATATAAATTTACATTTTTTTCAGAAAATGAGTGATGGTTTCTCTAGATAAGACTCTTATTCCTCGGCTGGGATCCTGTAGAGCTCTTTGAAGCTGCACTGAAACTGTGATTTAGACCTTCAGTCCGTTGGTCCCCATTGAAGTCCATTATATGGAGAAAAATCCTGTAATGTTTTCCTCAAAAACCTTCATCTCTTTTCAACTGGAGACAGAAAGACATGAACATCTTGGATGATATGGGGGCAAGTAAATCACCAGGAGATTTTTATTCTGGAAGTGAACTAATCCTTTAAGAATAAACAGGCTTTCATTCATGTTTCTTGTTCACAGCCGGTCACTGGTTATCATCACTATGTCAACATAGTGTGACTCCTGCTTTACACATTAAAGGATTCAAATGAGAGGATTCACTGTCAATCTTAAAACACACTGCTGTATATATGTGGCCAATATGTTTCAACAAGCAGCTTACAAACATAATACTGGATCTGTTCAGTAAGGTGAATCAAACTGTAATAAAAGCACATTAAGTGTTGTTTTCATTGACTCTCACATTAGAATCAGACAGCCATTAACATCAGAAGACCCTTCACAATGAGAAAAACTAAACTCTGCGGTTACACCAGTAGAAGACGCCACGGTTTCCTCCAAAACAGAATTAGCTTCTCTCACAATGAGTCTCCTGTTCTGCAGGCCAGTGAGGGAAAGGATGAGACGTCGTTTTAACATGCTTGTTTGGACACTCTTGCACATTTCCTTTGATGGAGTTTTATCCGTTGCCTAATATTTTCCAGAAACTGGAGGCAGACGTGTCAGAGCGGAGGAAGAAAAATCCTCTCACACTGTCAATGCAAATGTTTTAATTTCACTGTGTTGCTGTAATGCTGCATGTCACAATACATTCCTGTAGAGCAACATCTGCATTATGCAACACACACACACACACACACACACACATCTGATTCGTATGCCACATGCATTTGGTTGGTGTGAAACAACCTGGGAATCACCCAGAAGCTCAACTGAACACCTCCTCCAAAGAACGTTCCCCATCACGGCACAGTCTCCTCCTGGTGTCTGGAGGTCTCCATCAGGTCCTGGACCAGGCTCTGTCCTGCTTATCTTCAGCGGAAAAGCCGCCGCTGGCATGAGTCCCACAATCTCAGGTTTGTTTTGAGAGCTGAGAGCTGCCATGTGGGTCAATGTTTCAAAAGTTTGAAGACAATTCTTCAGCAGTAGGATACATTGCAAAAGGCCGGCCTCCATTCCTGTGGTTAATACGAGCTGTCAGCGTCCACATTAGGACCGCTTCTGAAGGGAAGGAGAACAGTAACTCTAATACAAACTAAACAAGAGCAGAGGAACCAGATCTACAAGAAACCAAAGCCCTAGAGAACGCTACTAAAGCTCTCGAGATTCAGTTTGTGTCTTCAGTGCACTGAGCCAGGCGAACGCTGGGTCAGTGAAACAAAGTCCTCAATGAGTGTTTGAATCCAGGTAGATTTCACTGCCACTTTACACAGAAAAACTGAATCTGAAAAAACATGACCTTAAACGACGAGATAAACGGAACAGCCAATGCCAAACTGTGTGGACGCAGCAAGAGACCTTGAGCAGTCAAGACCAAACGTGTTTCAGATGAAGTTTGTGCATCAAACACACATCAGAATCAGAAAGCAGCTGCTCTCGTACAATACATTCAGATGGCTGGTTTCTGTGGAAACGGCTCTGTTTCCTTTGTGTTTACAGCTGGGGCTGGAAATATGTGTCCCAAATCAGTCGTCTGGCCAGCGCCGTGCTGGCCGAGCTCTTCACGATCATCTATCATCATATATTACAGGAGTTCTTGTGAAATGTGAATCACAAAAGCTCTAGAAGCGGTCATCTCAAACATCACACAGCTTAAAGGAACAGTTCACCTAAAAACTAAACTTCTGTTTAACCACCCTCATTTATGAAGGTCAGTGGGGTCCAAAACAACTGACTTTGAATTCCTCTTCAATGTGAGGGGGAGTAAATGCTTTAAATTTGCATTTGTGGGTGAACTACTCCTTTAAATGCACATTCTGAAGCTTTTCTCCTGCATCTGGAGTAATGTGTCAAATTTCAGCTGATTGAGAAACTGCAGTGTTATCGACGCCCCGTAATAACAGCCAAGCCATTCCTCAAAACATATTAAATTCATCATTAACATAAAATGAGGTCAAGAATGCGATCTTCTGGCACGCGTCCCGTTTGGACCGAGTATGAACAGCTCTGCGTTATTGAACACAATACAGCTTTTGTGGACATGATGTCATCCTTAGGGAAGATTACTCAGGCTCCGCCGCTTGTCATAACGGCAATTTCGACCGAACAGAGTCACTGTGCCAACTATCTGTCATCATGAGGGTAATTGAGGTAAAGAAATGGGGTTTAGCCCTCTACGACCACCTTCTGCGACCTTGAGCTCCCTCACCAAACTATGAACCTCACCTGGACACAGTGATGGAAACATGGAAAGTGACTTTCATAGCGCCCTAAAACTGCTATGGAAAAACAATATAAAAATAGCTACAATGGACAAAATTAATATAAATGCATCTGGATCTTAATAAATGATGTTGCAGCAACAGTTCATGGAGTTCTGCAGTCTCAGCGCTCAGAGAAAACCACATCAGAGCCCATTATCATCATCATCATCATCATCAGGCCCGTCTGAGCTCAACCGGATTCATTCATCATTCAGTCTCCCAGCGGCTGTGCTGCTCGTGTTCACCTATAGCCTACAGTCTGTTCTGAGCGTTTAGCGGGTCTCATTTCACCCTGAAACTATAGGTTTTGTTTTTTAACAGTAACAAAAATATCCCATTATTGCACAGCTACTTACAAAATACATGGACATCAAGGGAGCCCAGTCCTGTTCCTGGAGATCTACCTGATCAACCACAACTAGACCAGCTAATTAAGGTCGTCAATAGCATTTAATAATTACAGACAGCTGTGTTTGATCAGGGCTGCTGGACTCTGCGGGTGGATCTCCAGGAACAGGACTGGTCACCCCTGATGTATGTGAAATATTGATTTGTACATGGAGATCTACCTGATCAACCACAACTAGACCAGCTAATTAAGGTCGTCAATAGCATTTAATAATTACAGACAGCTGTGTTTGATCAGGGCTGCTGGACTCTGCGGGTGGATCTCCAGGAACAGGACTGGTCACCCCTGATGTACGTGAAATATTGATTTGTACATGTTCCCTTAAAGCAGGGCTTCTGAACTCTGGCCTCGAGTTCCACTTTCCTGCAGTTTAGCTCCAGCCGTGATCAAACTCACCTGCCAGTAACTTTCTCGTGAGCTTGCGAGGTGTGTTTGATTGAGAACCCCGGCCTTAAAGGGACGCGGTAAAAAATGATATGGCAGAAGAAGGAAAAGTTAAATGCTTTTGCGTTCACTAGGAAATCTTTTGCATTCCCCAAAGAACCTTTGTGTTCATTTGCAAAACTTTTATGATGAAAATAATATGAGGTGGAAGGAAAAGCAATACTTTTTTCAGAGAATGTTTGCGAGCGAACACAAAAGCAGTAACATTGAATGTTTTTCCTGCCATCTCATTTTTTTCACCATCATGCCCCCCTAAGCGGCTCTGTAGATCTGAGATGAATCTTAAATTTAGATTAGATTAAATCTTACAAAAACAGAAACTGAACACAACGTTAAAATAATTGGGTGGTTTGTGAAACAGATTAGCACAGGAATGGAACAGGTTCTTTGGTAACCCCTAGGATTGGGCAGTCTGACTCATTTATGCGAATCGGTTCAGTCGAAGTTCATTTTTAAGAATCGGTTCAAAAGCCATTATTTAATGCCATGGCGTAATTACGTCATCCCGTGACCATGACAACGTCCACACGCTCTAAAACACCTAAATAAAGCCGAATGAAATCACATATCGCGTTTTTCTGATTATGTTTTATTGATATGCGTTTTGTAAATTTATAGCGTTGCACCCATGATTCAGTTCATAAAAACAATCATTTAGAAACTAAATAGCCTATTTTACAATATACTATCGAAATTAATTTGCATGTCTCAACTACAAAAATTTTTTTTTAAAGTTTTGCAAGTAATAACATGCTGTTGTTTATTAAAATCAACTCCTTTTCGTTTATTAGACAAACCTGTAATTATCTCCATTATGTTTCATCATGTGTAACATTTCTGTTGTTAATCGGTTATTAAAGTAACAGGTTCTCAGTTCACTCCCAATACACGCAAAATCACACGACCAAAACAACGCCGTGACGCGACGCGCGACAAAAGAGCCGATTCTCGGTTAAATGAATCTCGAGAACCGCTCGGACCGATTCAGCTGCGAACCGATTCACTAAAAAAGACCTGACTCAAAAGAACGAGTCGTGCACAGCCTAGCCTACCTCTAACTATTTTCTGCAGCTTGTGTGAATGTATAAAGCATATAAAGACGTTTGCTGTGATTTTCTGAAACATGTGAGTGATGTGCCATACCTGAGTCAAAGTGCAGCAAGGCTGAGGCAGAAGAGCAGATGCACACAGCGATGAAACTCCAGCACCACACTCTGCTGATGAGAAATAAAGATGATGCGAGATGTTTCTCAGAAGCAAATGAATGAAATATCATTTCAGGAAAGCTGGGTCACCTCAGCGCTGAGTCGCTCGCTCGGCCCATGACGCGCGGTATAGCTGCAGCGCTCGCGCCGACAGAGACTCCTCTCCTGAACACCCGCCGGGACCCAGCAGCTCCACGCGAACAAAGCAGTCTCAGTTCGTCCAGACTCCCTCAAACACTGAAATCCGACTCCGAGCTGAAGCAGAGCTCCCACCTCCTCAAGCCTCCGCATTCAGATGCAAAGCCCACCTCACAAACAGCACAGTGCTCATCTGCTGTTTCACATCATGATGCTGTGTATGAATGCAATCTCTATATGAAGTCTGGCATGGCAGGTTGTGCTGCATAAGACGAATAATGTACAAGTATTGTGCATCTACCAGAAGATAAAGATATCATGTACAGTAGTCCCCAAAAACACACACAAGTGTATGGATGTCATTGCATCAGTTAATAAGATATTAAACCAAGTGTTATTTTCAAACAAATGCTGCAAGAGCTTTTCACAGAACTCACTCTGACATCTGATTTTTCTTTTTTAGTACATGTAAGTTCTTTAGTTCATTCTGTGTCCCAGCAGAGGAACCGCAGCTGTAATTCATCACAAGAACACGACCCGCTTACATCTGAGCTCCAAAAATCTGCTGAACTACTTTTTGCCTTGATTTTGAACAGTATGAAGAGACTGGGGCTAGTTGTCACACATGATGTTATCACATGAGCAAACTATAAGGTCTAAACAGAACTTTATTTAAAATAAATAAATACAATTATAATTACGATTTAATTACATAATAAATAAAATAAAGCTGTAATATACATAACAAAGTGAATCAACCAGATATTTTCAGAGGCCTTAAAAATAGCATTATAAATTACACATAAAATACATGAAAAACACTGTGATGACTGAAACTGTCCTTTATTGAAATCCTAAGTCATCTTATGTCTTATCAAGCACATGTTCTACATGAAACACACCACAGTATTTAAGAGTGAGGCTGACGCAGGGCGTGATTACTGCAGCATCTCAGCTCTAAATCATTTACAATTACAACAAACAATTATGATCCATAACTGAAACCAGTCGTTAGTAGTGGTGCCAGCTGCTCTAGGGAGACACATCTTTCACTGCCAGGATCTGCTCATTTATTCAGCATTCACAGCGATATCTGCCAGTCCTTCATTAACCTGATGATTCTGAGGCCATGAGAGAAAAGCTCTCAGCTTTGATAACGTCCACTGAGCTGGTGTTTGTGATATATTGTGTGCTGGACATGCATAGGAGTGATTGCATGCACTCTTTTACTGGATGCTCTTCATTTATTTAATGGCCATTACCTGCAGTTGTGTAACACTTAAATCACCAGACATGTCTCACATGAGTAAACACCTGATTTTAGAGGAGTTTGTTTCTTCATCAGATTTGTAGAAATGTAGCATTGCATCAGTGTCTCAGCAATGGATGCTCTGCAGTGAATGGGTGCCGTCAGAGTGCCTTCACTGGAGGAAGCGTTATTATAGACTATGGGCACATATTTTAGTTAAAAAGGTCTTAATGCTGGATTAGTTTCAGCTTTTGTCTTCTCCAGATGTTAACTGATGGACTGGAGTGCTGTGGATTACTTGTGGATTATTGTGATGTTTTTATCAGCTGTTTGGACTCTCATTCTGACGGCACCCATTCACTGCAGAGCATCCATTGCTGAGACACTGATGCAATGCTACATTTCTCCAAACCTGATGAAGAAACAAATTCATCTACATCTTAGATGGTCTGAGGGTGAGCACATTTTCAGCTAATGCTCATGTTTGGCTGAATTATTCCTTTAGTAGTTTCATAGAAAAGAGCAGCATGAACATTCCTCAAAATATCTTCCTTTCAAAATATCACACTGGAGATGTGTTCCACAGAAGAAAGAAAGTCCGTCTTGCCTTGAAACAACATGACGGTGAGTAAATGATGACAGTATTATCATTTTTGGATGAACTCTCCCTGATAGTCTGGCTAATGGAATTGAGTCGAGACCAAGTTTTTTTTTTATTGTCTAAACAAGACATTACTCAGTGTGAGGGGGACCTTGTACAAACCACTGACTTTGTGTTGAGGATTTCTTCACTTTGACTCATTCTCTCAGCGGTCAACACAATAGATGAGTTCATTCGTGCTGATGTTAGATGTCTAGGATAGGTGCAGCAGAACCGAAGGATCTTCTGACTCTATCTGTGAGGCCTGTGAGGTTAGGAAGATAAAAGCAGAATGAAATTCCTGTTGTCCAGCAGCCTGATATAGCAGCGACGCAGGTCCTGATAAACCTTACGAACCCTCGTCCGACACAGACCCGCGGCTCTGACAGACTCCAGAGCTCCTGTGTTCAGAGCGTGCTTCGTGTCGGGGATTCATGGGTTCTAACCTGGAGCTGATCGACACGACTCAATCTGTAGGACATCATATCTGCAACACAGAACATCTGGGACATTTTGCAGCTATCGGCACAGTCTGATGGGTTTGTGTCTCAAAAGCAACAAATGCCGTATAACATTTCAAGGCAGCTCCAGAGATTTTCTCATTAAAACAAACTGAAAGCATATAGTTCACAACCACGTCAGTTTCTGAACGATTCTGAAACTACATGTCCTTTCATCAGTGAGATCTTTAGTTAAATCAATGTGGCAGGGACTCGCTCTGGGCTTCAGAAAGTAGGTTAATGTGCTCAGGGAAAGATCTCCATGGCAATATGGTGCTGTTGTATGAAAATAATGCGGAGTGAGGCTGTGAGAGGGAGAAGGGAGCGTGGGTGGCTCGTCTGAAGCAGTCGAGGTCCAGCGTGACTCAGCGCTGATTCAGTCATGAGAACGTTGCTGGAAACTCATGCATTCTTTCATTTTCTGTAGAGGCTTGACAGATGTTTAACGAGAGATTCTAGAGGCCGTTCAGTTCAGTTTCTGGAGAACATTTTTATTTGATGAGCGAAAAAGAAGCACATTTTAGCATACTTTTAAACAGCACTTATAACAGAAATAATATACTTTAATAGAACATACTTACGTGTGAACTGAATGTAATGTTTTCAGACTCTTAATTACATATTAACCCCAAATGAAGATGTAGTTTAAATTTATATGAAATGCAATTAGCTGAGTGTTTTTCACCTACTTAAGCATGAGTTCAGCACATCTTTATATGTAATTTCATAATTACTTCTCTTGTCTTTCAAATATGGTTTAAGTACTGCTGAATGTACTGACAAGCTTTTATGGTAAATATACTTTAATGTCATGTCTCTGTCATGTATTTAAATATATTTGAAGCTGTAATTTAGTACATTTAAAAGATATTAACTTTAAATGTAATATCCAATAGCACACTGCAGTTAAATGACAATCAAGTACTTTGCATCTGCTTTAGTATGTTAGTCACATCAAACTAAGTGAACCTCTTTAAAGCAAGACAAATTACTATTCACACTATGATTTGAAATGTCAAACTTGTGACATTATTTTATATTTGACAAAAGTGCACAAAGGTGTCTCTCTTTTAGTCACTTAAGTGGCCTTTTATTTCATTTATATTATTTTATCTGCAAGTTTTTATGACGTACACTACAAGTGCACATTCAATACAATAAAGCACACTTCTTTTTCATGAAGGTACAAATGAAGCTATGATATCCTTAAAGCCACAAATGAAGACCAGAACATGACAGCAGCCAATAAATCTGAGCAAATGCTAATAAATCATCATGTGACGTGTGTGGCTGTTTGAGTGACTCAGAATAGAGTGGTTTATTTTCAGCTCTGGCTGACTCCTGTAGACTCTCCTGCTGTTCTGAGCCCGTCTGGAGCACGGTGAAGTCTTCAGTGATGTGCTGACGGGCCACCCACAGCCTTTGTGTTATCAGCTGCTACTGAGCTGAAGTGAGACCTTTACATCAGACACCAACACATCCCCGTCTGAAACTCTCAAAAACCACCTGGATGCATCTGATCACACTATTTATTCATTTAGGAGAACTTTATTGATGTATTTATTCATTTAGCATGAGCTTTTTGTTTTTTGGTACACACATATGGTAAATTACAGTATATATGTACAACAACAGACGTAACATTTCCTCCAAATAATCATGCATTCAGTAATTCCAGTGAAGTAAGAGGATTGAGACAGATTTGTGCTTGAATCCTCCAGGCCAATACATATCAAGAGAACGATTAAAGGCCCAAACACGATTAGAGTATTTCCTGAAATTTCCTGAAAAGGTCACACTGTAGACGGAGGAGGAGGAGGACTGTTGATCCACTCCACAGGAGAGAAGACTTTACGTTTACACATCGCTTTTCACATAGTCACCACACACACACACACACATACACACACACACACATACACACACACACGCACGCACTCACTCACTCACGCACTCACACACATACACACACACACGCACGCACTCACTCACTCACGCACTCACACACATACACACACACACGCACGCACTCACTCACTCACGCACTCACACACATACACACACACACGCACGCACTCACTCACTCACGCACTCACACACATACACACACACACGCACGCACTCACTCATCTCTCACTCTCACACACACACACACACACACACACATTGGAAACTGCTATATAAATCCCATTTTTCTGAAATGAAGAGAGACACATATGGACTTTGTGCTTCTGAGAGAGATTTGCACAGCTTTTACGAATAAAAGGTGTTGCCATTTAAAACAGCCTTTAGTAATGCTGCACAAAGTTCCTCCACGGCGAAAAAATCCAGCATGTTCTGATCGATGAACAGAGCTGAAAATCAAACACTTCACTTCTCGTCAAACATATGTATAACATGGAAAGCCATTCTGGGCTCCCTGAGAGGTCAGAGGTCGTACAGATACAGCGCTCAAATAGAGCTCAGATAAGCTGTCTAAACAGAGCCTTGAGAAACCTGACTGACATTTCAAACTCCAAACTAAGTTTTACAGCTCCTTCTCGTGCAGACTGACGCATGCGACGCAGGGAATACTGCCACAGGCTGCCGTTCATCATCTTTGGCAGTTCTGATAAACCATATCCTAAAATCCTCCTCCAGACCAAACCTTTCATTTGTACTTGAGCAATATGAGGTTATACACTACCGCCAACAGTTTGGAGTCAGTGAGTGTTTCTGAAAGAAGCCTCTTCTGCTCACCAGAGCTGCATTTATACAGTAAAAACTGTGAAGTGTTATTACAGTTTCAAACAGTTGTTTTCTGTGTGAATATCTGTTAAACTGTAATTTATTTCTGTGATGCGCAGCTGTATTTTCAGCATCATTACTCCAGTCTTCAGTGTCACATGATCTTCAGAAATCATTCTAATATGCTGATTTGCTGCTCAACAAACATTTCTG